TATACGTTGGGGTACGGGCAAACCGTTATATATAATTAACATCTTCCCAACGCAAAAAAGAATACATCTTGAAAATAAAATGCTCTTAATCAAATTATCAAACATCCCGCATCCATATCTGCTCCATTTCACTGCATTGACACCTAAGTGAGAAAGCTGTGAGGAGTCCATCGAAGCTACCTACCAACCAATCTTTTCAGTGATATAAAAATATGCAAATGTTAATAAATGTTTCCCATAAACGGTAAAAGTATAACGACCGAAAGGGGAGTAACAGCACAGTCCCCCATTGAAACCTAATTATTTAACAGAATCGTATCTCGTTACTGAATGCCCTGCATAATGCTTCGTCACGACAGCAGCGCAAACAACAATAAAACAAAACCAAAACCAACAAACAAGATCAAACAAAAGAATTAGAACAAAACAAAAGAACTTCACTATTACGTACGATACAGGTACGCTATGGGAGAAGGGGATACATATAAGGCTTACAAAACGTGTTGTTAGATGGGAAGAATTGCATGCATGCAAATAATGTGTTGTAGCTGAAATCTGGTATACGCTAAGCACGTTTGGCGATATTAAAGCCTTCATTTTCACGCTCACGTCGTTTTCACGTTACATGCAATTGGAGTGAAAATAGGCACAGCTTATACTGAGCAATTCTTGCTGCTGTCCATCTATTACATAAAATAATTTGAATAATTATGTTTAATATATTGAGCACAGTATGTGAAAGGATTTCCCACTGACATTTTTATGCAAGAAACCTTTTATAATATCTGGAAACAAGATTGCAGTGTATTCAAAATTCTAGACTTCCAATAGAACAATTATGATGCTCGAAATAGACCCCAGTCAGTAACATTTATAATGTTTCAGTTGGCACAACTAACCCCTAGCAAGATAGTCGCTACCCCTATACAAAGTGTTTGAGAAAGTATATATAAGAGTAGAATTTCTCAAAGTGCTCACAGAGGGGTCAGCTAGAGACAACGTCAACTAATTTGTACGACACTGCCAACACCAAACTTAACTTAGTACAATCTTGGCAAACCACGGTCTACTTGTAGGAGGTTGTCAAGATTTTTTTGGTCAGGGACGAGCAAAGTTGAGTTTTTGCCCAAATACGTGCCCCTCAAATCCCTGAGGAGACATTTTGTGCTCTTTCCATCGGTCAGGTATAAAGAAAATTCAGTGGAATCTTTAACTCAGTGGGAGAACAAAAAGTTGAGAAAAACCACACCTTTTTCTAGCAAAACCTGGAATGTTATTCGCCATGAGACTTCACCAATTCTAATATATTGGTTATCTTGCTTTCTTGTACATGTACTATCTTTGGTGATGGTAATAGAATATGTCGAGCTCAACCTTTGCTCTTTGTGGTTCTAGTAATGAGGTGCATACATTATGTTTGCGTTGATGTTAGCATACTGTTGCCCTCCACCGACACCAGACTCCTTCACCGTACACAGCGAGTACTGTGCCTGGGTGAACTCGCCCATCTCAGACCCATACGCCAGTCGGTAACCATCGTTCACAGCTGAGCCAGAAGATGATCCCGTGGACAGGGAGCACCACGCCGTCTTAGTGTTACCAGGGATGGAGTTGTCCATTCTCTCATCTGTTGAGTGCGGATACGAACCATACCGGGGATGGTACGAGTCGACCCCACCGGGAATACATTGGCGTAGGGTGCCTAACCCCAGGGTCAGACTTCCCGCCCTCGGGTTGCGGGCGCCCAAACTAGCCGAAGGTTGCTCCATGGCATCAACGGCTTTGGTAGGAGGCTGGCATGAGACTGCTGGGACGGACGCTACTTCTTTGGCAGTGGCGAGGTTTCTGTAGTGAGGATCAAGCCGTTGGTTATCGTGACATGGGTTGGACGTCTGCTCACCCCTATCAGCGAATGGAGGCGTTCCTATCGCAAACTGTTGCTGAGAGCGCATGTCGCCTTGGTAACACTTGGCTTTGGTTGCATTCTTCATTGCAAGGCGTTTCTGCTTCATACGACGGTTTTGAAACCAAACCTTAACCTAAATTTTAAAAGAAGAGAGAAAAAGAATTATGTTCTCAGCTGTTCAAAAATTGAACTTTATGTTTCACAGTCTCATTTAATTTTTACATGCAAACTTCATGTGCTGTATATCACATGTTTCCACTCATTTCCGTTGATTGTCTCATTGGTGGTCTTCATTTTGTTATCTAAAATCTCCTCATTTTAAAAAGCTAGAAATACATGCAGCGTAGATGGTAACGTAGGGGAAAAAACAAACCAATCAGCGACTTGGCACCAAGTCGAATGTGCACTCATTATGTGCGTTTCGAAAGGATGCCAGGCCACCAGCGCACTACACTCCTTACGTCGACTGCTACCTATCTGCTCCCTCTCATTGCCGGACATTGGCCGAGACATTACTGTGGGACTGGACTGTGGACTGCTGTGGCCCCCTGCGGCCCAATTCCTGGGGGTTATGCGCCAACCTACTTGTATTTGTCTGGGCTGGTCTGATCTGGTGTGGGTTGTTGCGGTGTTTGGCAGCTCGACGACCGCTCTGGTATCGTTATGGGGACGTTGGCTGGGCAGGGCCTGTTTCTGCTGTGTGGCTCCTTAATTCAGGTATTAATTTGGACGATTATAATTTGCCCCTCTCTGTGCTCATTAACAGTTATGTTTTACCAGCTTGCTTTTCATTTTTTGCAACTCTATAAAAGTTCCCACTTGGCTCTATTTTTGCAATTATTTTTGCTTTGCATGTTATTACATGCTTCAGCTTGTTTGTAATGTATGGTATTTTATGAAAGGTCGAAGATGGAAATCATCTCAAAACTTTGCTTTTATGCATGCTCTTGTTGAGTTATGTGTATTAAATAAATCTTGCTTTAAATGTATTTGACTGGCCTTCTCTCTGCCTGTAATCCCATTGTCCCTTGCTTTTTCATTTTTATACGTTTGCCATACATTTACTGTATAGGCCTATCTGTAACACCATGGTTAGAATTTTAGCGACTTATTTGTGGATTACAAACGTTTCCACGAATATTTACATAAAATAATTGGGCGTGTGCAAAATTTCGGTTTCTTTTGCGCTCTATTTCAGAGGTCTCTCCTTGCAAATTGTTGCTTTTCTTCCGTCTTACCGATTATTCACGCTTTCCGTGGACAATGTTTTTGTTATTTGTTATGCTATTTGTTGGTACTGTTGCGTTACTGAAGGAACGAATCCTACAAGTTAAAATATTAGGACCGCCTTTAGGTTATAATTTTCATTTCATTATATGTTCATTACAACGGTGCATAACGCGGGGAATTCTGCGTGGGAAACAAACAGAAGATTGGCTTTGGACTGGAAACTATTTCAGGGTTCACGAACTGGGGAATTTGCAAAAAAAGGAAAGGTGGAAGCTAGCTGCGAAGGGAACTGAAAGCTTGTCGGAAACTTTAAATGACATTAGACTCTAAAAATATTAAAATGGGTGATGGCGTCCTTTCCTTTACTTGACTTCAGAGCTTAAGTACGAAAAATCAGATATAAGCTTACATTTGCTGTGGAATCGCACTTTTTCTTGAATTCTGGCCTATAACCTTTGACAGTTCATTCAGGAATCGTCAACTATTGGGGCCATTCTGAGTGAACAGTGGTCAGGATTAGTCTTTGTGCATCACAGTTTCGGCTAGACCGGTTCATACTAGTTGGTCTGAAATCAGCCCAACTCAGTATTGATGGCACTGATCATGCTTTAGGACACTCCAACTGGAAACATTTACACAAGCCCTTGGAATTAGAAATGGGCTCAGGGGTTAAAAGAATGCATCAATTCCATTAAGGCGACCCACCTTCTTATGATGTCGATTTAAGACTAAAATTTGAAATGCGCACGTGCACTTTGAATATGGAACAAAATATTCGGATTTGTTTCTCGGTGGAGCTACAATTCAAAAGAATTGTAAGATTAAAAGTTGAAAGTTTTACAAAGACAATGATATTAGCACTTCTGATTTCAGAAAAGAATGTATAGGCCTAGACAGCGCAGTGAATTTCTTCCTTTCAAAATTTATCAGACGAAGCGTTTCAGAGGATCTATTTAAGTGTTACAAATGCAAATACTTGAACAGAATTCAACAAAACTACCCTGCTTCTAACACACATTCTTCACATATTTTCAAACCACATTCTTGCTTGTTTATGTAGGTAAATAAAGTTAGTTACCTTAAACGTAATCAAAATTACAATGATTAAGTCCCAAACGTTCGACTTTATTTTCTGAAATGAAACTAATATCTTATTAAGTCTGCAATGCGTCAAATAAACAGCAGGTTTTAATTCCGAGAAAAAGTAAATAAAAATTGAATAAGGGACAAGATGACCTGTAAATAGAAAGGTTATAGTTGGGATCCTTGAAAATTTGGTAACTCTTTGACAGTAAGTTGACAGTTGGAATCAGTTGACAAATTAATTACCGTATTCCAGTTTGATGTTTGTGCATATTTAAAGCAGTCTAACTTCCTCTACAAAGCCCATTTAAGATCTTTGAATCTTTTGATCGTTTATTGTAAATTTTACATAGGCTTTGTTTGAGTTAATGCTGCTTTGATGAATAATTGATGTAATCATGTCTAAATCAAAAGTCAGAATATTAATACCAGATATACAACCATGGAGCGATGTGAATATGGTACTTTATTAAGTTTGATTTTGGCTGAATGCTCGTTTTTTCCTATGATAGCCAGAGGTAAAAGTGAATCTTATTCAAGCGTTATTACCTTGACAGAGACATTTAATGTGACTAAGCGACACAGTCCATTCACATTAGTCAAAATGAAACATTATGTTTCTTGCACTGCTAGTTAATTTCCCGGCATTACTTGTTAATTTTCATTCAGTACTGATCACTTGAAAAGGAGAGTTTTCATGACTGATTATAATTAGTGAAAATTACTCAGGCAGACAATCTATTAAAGGGCACTTTTCAGTGTTTCCATGTTTATTTTGCAACAATCTCGGGACTGTCATAGCAATACTACGAAATCTATCACAGACAATGAACCGGCACTACGCTTTATTTGAGCATAAATTGTTCTTGGTAACATAATGGTGCGGGGTTTCCCTTATTAGTATGAGTTTAATTTTGCACATGCCCTTATTTCCATGGAACCCCAACAGAGTGTAAAGTCTATTATATTCTTGGCGACCACAACAGACCCCCCTCAGCAGACAGGGTGTAGTTAGTTGATCGAGGCTAACAAGAGACTACTGAGCATATAATTACATAATTATGTGTACAACAAATCCAGAGCAAGTCTTCAAATCGTGCGCTGTTGGTGTTACGCAAGTTGCACGGCGAGCTGAGGGAAGGCTTTGGTTGGATGTGTGACGCCATGTTGCCGAGACGTTACCGGCCTCTCGCGCGATCGCCAGCCTTTGCGTGACTTTGGACATGATGATGGACCCTTTTCTTCGCACCAATGTCAGTCGACGATGGTTACCACGATGGGTATGCATTTGGTGAGTTTTGTGAATATATTGCACCATTTAATGGATGTATTTTCTAGTATTTCCTTTTCACTTCGTGTCACTGTATTCGCGGGCACATATGTCTACATGTACTCGTGCATATTATAATGGGCGGCCATACTGTTCATTATGTGTGGCGTATTATTCAACGCATACAAATTTGTTCGAATTTGGAAATCATATTTGTAGACATTTGTATTCTGAGAATCAATACATGTGAAGGGAAGATTTGTAACTCGGGAATAGTTTGTATATCAGTGAAGATAACAACTGCTAAAGAGTTTTGTGTGAGACCGTGTTATTGGATTTCTGCCTTCAAAATAGGCCTAGTGTCTGGGTGTATAAATCCCTAATTGGTGTACGGATTTCCTTACAGCGACACTGACAAAATCAATGCTCCTATTACTTGGAAGTTGCAACGCTTCAAGTCAAACGGAATCTGAGAAAACAACAATTGCAATCACAGCTTGTAAGAATGCCCGTCTTTTTGGTTTTTATTTTCTTCTTACACCACACCGCTTCTGGAAACAGTGACACAGTTTGTGTACGGTTTGTTTCCGTGGGCTTTCTTGAACACAGAGAGAACAGATAAAATGAGAGAATAACGCAATATGACGGTAGCAATACGATGAACTTGCTGCATATTGGCACGAATACCAGTAACTACGCCACTTCGTATACAAGAACAAGCCGCCCGAACTCAACCTATGAGCATAATGCAGTGGGTTTTTATTTTACTATTTTACTTCATTTTACCATTTCCAGTAACGATCCTGATGATGGTACACATTATGATTTAATGAATGATCAGCTGGATTTTGGTGGACGGTGCAGGAAATTGGCTGGTGATTGACTTTAGCGCATATAGAGAAAGGAAATGTGTGTACCTGCCGCTCTGTCAATTCCAGCAGACATGCAATCTCGATTCGGCGTGGCCTGCAGATGTACTTGTTGAAGCGGAATTCTTTCTCGAGCTCCAAGAGCTGAGTGTTGGTGAAGGCGGTACGAACTCGGCGAGATGGGGCGGCCTTAACTGCACAATTAGAAAAAGTTGGCGGGAATCACCCATGGTTAGCAGAATAGAATCAAAGATGTTCAATGCTGACAGAGGAGATCCTAGTCCGTTTTAAAGTTTCCACTTCATCTTGCCTCAGCCATTCCAATCACCTTCATGTTTTAGCACATGCTGGAAACAGGTGGTTTTGTCTTCATCAGCTGCACTTCAATCATAACTATTGAAAGACTTCTCTACATTATTGATCTTTTTATTGTACTATGTTGACAAAGTCAACCGTTTCTCTATTTTTTACATCCAAATTCCAATGTTTCTGCTCGAAGTTAATGTGTATATTAATTTTTAGTTCTCAAATGCCTTTTTCTTCATGGCAATCTTTCCCATTAAACGCTTGATTGTCCATAGAGTGTACGGGGCAGGTTATGAGCCATTATAGTTTCTCTCTGTTTACATTTTTCAGCTTTTAAAACTTGTTTAAAGTCCGGTTGTCATGCATTTCCGAAATACTACGACTTCAGCACGGTTTGATGACAGAACATTGTCTAACCCAAGTCCGCCCGATAGATCCACGCGGCCGTTGAGCCTCAGGGGCCTACTTGACAATGTCTTGCAAGTGCCTCAAGTCCCAACGACCGATCACCGTAAGCTTTTTCACCGCGAGGTGTCTTTATAGATGACCACTTGAAATGCCAAACTTAATAGGCCTATAACAAATAACAACTCATCCAGCATTACTTGTTTTAATTTTTTCCATTTGAAAGTCGGTTTCCGTTTGTTAATCCTTTACAAATATTCTGTTCTGCTTTCAACCTATTTGTCTTGACACTGAAGCTTGACTTTTTTAAAAACGTCGTTCCATTCCTAATTAATTTTTCATCCCGGACTGACTTTCAGGAAATGAAATTTGAGCGAAGGCATTGCTATTGAGTGGTCCAGTGTATGTTTCCCGGACAAGATAGAAATTGACGATACACTTTCCTGCAATATTAGGCAATTTGAGTCAAATTTTGCCCCATTTTTACTGGCACCATCACGTTTGCCATCGGTTGAAGAGAGGGGGCGGGGTGCATCCCCTATTCCGACTCGCTATTCTAATGATGCATCTGTCGTCATTTTCCACAACCCGGAGGACTTCTTTTTCGAATTGTAAATTTAGGGGCCCAGTAAATCATGAAAAAACCTTGCTCTCAATCTTTGGTCTAAAGACTGCAAATAGAGGGGACGAGAATTTCAAGTCAAAACCAAAAGACAATCGAATCAAACAAGACACAATGGATTTTAACGGTGCCTGTTACGCGGAGAACAGGCGCGGTATGAAAAAAAAATGCACGACGAAGTTTCTAATAGAGTTCAAACTTAAGCTAATTAATTTTAAATCGACACATCAGAACTCTAAACACGCAACACACGCGAAAGAGCAGGTTGAATTGCACACATGTCCTTACGGGCTGTGGGTGAAACATGCCATGGGTCACAATAGAATATCGTTCTTCAAGGCTTTCAATCATTGTGTTGTTAGTTTCTGGGCTTAAGAGTGAAAAACACATTAAAAAAGAGCCTGTCTTCACATCAAATGGCTGTCTTGAAACGTGAATTAAAATAGGCGTTTCCGACAGGCTGGAAATATACTTACAATGTGACACATTTGGTACCCAAAATATTCATTAGATTTTATTAAAACTCTAAGATCCTACCGAAGACCAACGTTCCTGTCATATATATCGTTAACAGTTTGGCGAATGGAGTTGCTGAATTTCTTGTTGAAATTAATAATTGTCAACATACATTCGAGGAAGCTGTACCAGCTTGTGGTGTGATGAAAGTGGGGGGAGGCGGGAAACTTGGAATCGTTGGGGGCGGTGGGCCTGGCAAAACACTTTTTCAAGAGAAGAAAATTTCGTGTCTCTGTGTGTTTGTTGGAGGGGGAGCTCTCATCAGCAACGAAATGAAAAACTAACGGTTTTTAAGGGTGTCAATTACGAGGGTTTTCCTAGTCCAGTTCAGTCTAATTAATGATTTTCAGTCACTTTTAATTGCTTTTTGTCTTACTTTTTTTCGGGACGGAGAGAGGTATCAGACACCCCCCTTGTTCCGCGCGACGCTCATGCCAGGAATCGGGAGATGACAGAATTACAAACATCATCAAAAATGACATTGACATATCTACAGCCTTCAAGCGAAAGTGTTTACAAAGGAAGAAGACGCTGTTAGGCATATGGTATCATTAATTAATTTCAACGAATTCGGACTTTGTTTTCGAATGAACAGGGTCTCAAGCTTACCTCCTTTCCCGTCAGCTCCTTTCCCATGCACTTTTGTCTGACCTTGAGTTACGGGAGGTGTGCCGCTTACCCAGGGGTACTCCGGCAGCTTGACCGAGGGAATGGGGCACCCTTTACCGCCGGTGACCTTGCCCCGGACTTTGGCCGGAGAGCAGCCCAGGGAGCAGGGCAAGCCGCCCACCCCCGAGGAAGAGCAGGGCAGATCGGTGGTGTCTTGCGCCGGGGATGCCTGGTTCGGCCGGCTGTTGATGGATGGCGCTCCGCTGACCGGCAGGTGACTCACAGTAGATGATCTCAGTGACCCACAAGAAGGGAGGCCGGCATCTACATGGTGTGTGGCGGTGAGGTGATGATCACTTGCCAAGAACGGCTGGCTTGTCTCTCCCCTGTCCATCGTCACGGCGGCGGCCCCAGTACAGAGAAATAATTTGCTGCTGCTTTGTAACGCAACGGGATTGCTCACTGTGTTAGCCTTAGCGATGTGAGCATAGAGCAAGCAACTTGCTCTATGATATGAGCGACCGCCGAGTGCTTTCTTTTCATCCAACCTCTCCTTCTTCCGTCCTAAGGACAAACTGGTGAAGTTGCCAAACTGCCCCGAATATACGAACAATATGCCCAGGAGAAATGCTTAATGTTTCTTCAACTGGGTAAACGTGTACGATGCGACTACTAGATTGCCACGTGATACAGGAACACGTTGACTCGATGTGTCTTGGTGTGGCAACTTCAAGCCAAGCTGCTCCGGACGTAACGATCGAGAGCCAGTCGTGGTGTCATATTCGTCTACTGTGACACGCTTCAGTTGTGTCACGTGGAATTGTACATACAGTGGATCACCTTTAGACACTGGTGACAAGTCGAGCCTGACGACACGGCAAATCAAGGCTGTCCGATCGCATGTGACGACTGCCGAGCGAGAAACGTCGAACTACATTTCCTTCCACTTGTGGAAAAACCTCAATTTGCATACTGACTCTTTCATTGGCTCAATGTCCATTCGAGGATGTTCATATGAACTGGCAAGCACTGTCAGTCCAGTGAATACTAGGTCGAGCATACAACTTGACTTGAGTAATTGTCTCAACTGAGGGTCTGGGGTTGGGAACGCGGCACCGTCCCACATATTTGAAGTTACTAGAGAAACTTATGGGGATCCTTGTTTTCCTTCCCTTTCTAGGTTTTTTTTATACTGTTGTCTTTTTAAGGGGGGTATGAAGGGTAACCCACTGCACCCTGTCAGGACTTGGACAGTGCATTCACTTCCGTCCACTCTTTCATTCAGACTGGACTGAATTGTTAGAAAAGCAGGGTTGAATTATTTGTAGTTGCCGAAACTTGAATCTAAAGGAGAAGGCCGCATCGACAGCGGTAAACGTGTAGTTTATTAAATAATGCAGTAATTTTTTTTTCAGTCCTGCTTCCACATTGAAACATGAAATTGTGGTAATGAAGCATTTTAATTTGACCAATACTGAACGTCGTGCGGGAAAACAAAGCCTGGCCATGTGTTATTCATTCATCCAGAGGAAACTGTTGGCTTACATGTACATGTACAC